AAGGCTTCTAGGAGAGGGAAGTAGTATTAGATTGCAAAACCGGGGGGGGGGGGGGGAGAGTGAAGGGACCCCCGTGCCCCTCAAGGAGTGCATCGGCCATCATGTCACTAGGGCTGGAGGGAAGCGAGAGGGCGCTCCATGCCACAGCCGCCTTCAAAGCCCTCAATGGCATCTAAGGGGCTGCCTTTCCCTGAACAATCTCCTGCCCCCCCCATGGACAGTCCAGGATCCCCGGAGGTTGGCAGGAGAGGGCCTGAAGGCAGGTGTCACAGCTGGGCTTCCAGTCATACTATCACACCCACCATCTTGACTCTTTTGACCCTCCCTGCAGACATCCCTACCCTGCAGGGTGAGGAGCAACCCCCGCCCCAGCCAGGCCTTCTGGAGAGCTGCAAAGACCCAGCCTCTCGGGAACGATACTGAAGCAGTGGTGTCCGTTTGGATTTTCCTGTCGTGATATACTGTTTATATTTTATTGCATCATGATGGCTGGATTGTATTATACGTGCTCTCCACGCTTTCGAGTCAAGGAGAGCAACTCAGCCAGGAGGAAAGGCCCTCTGCGTGTCCAACTTACAGCTTTTGCCTGTCGCCCCCCTGCCAAAGGGCCGAAGTTGCAGCCTGCCGCCCCTCCCTCGGAGAGGCAGTGGGGAGCTCACCCGGCCCTTGGGGGGAGCAAAGCCCTCTTCTCCTGCAGCGCCACCCCTCTGCTTCCTGCAGCAAACATTCATTCGCCCCTCCTTTTTGTAAAATATAATGTCTACTGAAGATTTATTTTTACATGAGTAAAAGATAAACATGAAAACATATAAAGAGGTAAGTTAGGAAAAAGATAAAAGAAAAAGTGTGGGAGACAAGAGAGAGAGAGAGAGAGAGAAGGAGAAAGTTAAAGCAGCAACTTCCGATCTTCTTACAGCAGTTACAAGCCAACTTATTAACCTTCCTCCCTCTCTACATTTGCCCCTCCTTGACAGCCCTGCCTTACACACCCCCAAGGGCTGGCTGGAGAAGGAGACAGCCCCTGCCCGGGACAGACCCCTGGAGTGGGCTATGGAGACGGAGAGAGAAAAAGCCACTGTGTGGCTCTCGGTCCCTACGATGGGGCCAAATCAGACAGCGGGAGGCAGAGAGAGAGGGAGAGACCCTCAGATATTCTGGTGAATCCCCAACAGCTCCTTGAATGACCCAATTTCACAGGGTGGAAGCTAGAAGTGGAAGGACGGGAAAGGTGCTCGACTTGGTTGCTTCCCTGTAGCAAAGCCGGCTTTCCCACGCTGCGTGGGAGAGGATGTCTAGGTATCTCCCTAACTGTGCTTGCGGGTGCCTGGCCAACCCTTCTTGAGGGACACCTCCGTGGGACGCAGCCTTCCTCCCATCCCTGGCCAGGAGCCGAGGCCAGCTAACGTCACGCTTTCCTGGACTGGTTATGCCCACCTTCTCCTGACCAAGCACTGCTGCGCGCACGAGTCTTGGGGCTTCCACAGTGACTGGGCTGATGACGTGAGAAGAGGTGCCCGGCTCCTATTGGTGGTTTTCCTCTGGTTGCCGGCGGGCAGCAGTGGCGTTGCAGGGGAGAGCGAGTCTCTCAGAAGCTCCGGTTTCATCCCTACCACCGCCCCCGCAAACGGATGCTCTGCATGGTGTCTCGGCAGCCGGGTCAGTGGGTCAGTGTGGTGTTGGCGCTGTCTGAAGCAGGAGGAATCTCCTCCACCATCCCTGCCAGCAGCTTGCACAGGTGATCTCCCCCACAGGGCAAGTTAGCCCTCTTTTCAGCAGGTCTCGTGCTCCTGCCCATGTCACCCCCACAAGTGTTTCTTGGCAGTCTTGGGGGGGATTTAGGAGGAGGGAGTACGAGTCGTACCCTCACTTCCCACATCTCCCGTGTGGCCTCTCAGCAGGCATCCGATTTTCTGCTCTGCTATGACCTCCTAGTACCGGATGGATGGAGGCTGCACGGTTCAGGCACCGCAGGTGATCCTCACAGGCAGGGAGTTCAGTGGGGCACTTTTGCTGCTGAAGGATCATGCCCCCACCCCTGATCATCTGCAGGTAGATATCTGCACACATGGTCCAATGGGGTAGGGTGACCTTCTCACCTGCATTACTTAAATACAGATCTGGTAGCAGGGTAGAAGTCCACAACTATACAGGCTGCTCTCAAGTTTTGTTTTTTCAAGCAAGGGACACCATGGCCCAATCGTGGATGGAGAAGCCCTGACGGAAGCCCCATCTAGCACCTTCAGGAGAATATCTACATGGGTTCAAGATTTGGCCATGGAAGATATTTGCTTTTCCCCCTCCACAAGCATGAGTGCAGAGGAGTGCAGAGAGGAGAGGGGCTGTTCATCTCTGCTTCCAGGCCTTCCAACTACTTGACAGTGAGGCCTTCAGGAGAGACACACAAGATTCCTCCATGCTCCTTTGTATTGCTCGTGCAAGGGTGAGCAAGGATGAAAGCACATGGCTTCCCCGCATATGCATATTCCCCCCATGCTCAGACAGAATAAGTCACGAGGGACATCTTCACATCCCTCCATTCTCAGTAATGCTTGAGCAAAAAGGAGATACTTTTTCTTGGAAAGGAGGGTTGGTCAGTGGTGGCTATTTTGCTGCAGGAATAGCCATGTTCTCCTAAGAACGTAAGAAGAGCTCTAGGTGGACCTGCTATTTCCCCCAGCAGTGAACCAAGACTATCTCCCAGGCAGCTGGTACTCAGGTGCTTGTTATCTGTGACCTGACTGGCCATCTAACTGATAGTCTCAATCTAATACATGATCTTTTTGCACTCCCTGCCTTCCCCCTCTCTGCAAGAGAATGAGAGGAGAGCTCTGTGGAGGGCTTCTGCCCATCCAGCACTAAACCCCCACATGCAAAGAATGGTGAAACCCACCATCTGCTTGCCCAGGAGGATAAAAGATCTTGAGATGTTTTCTGAGTTGTGTATGTAGGTCCCCTCTCCCAATCCCTGCTTCCCCCTCTTTTCCTCTTCTTCTGTGAAGAGGGGCTCTTCCACACATTTGGCCTCATCTTCAGGGCAGCCCTTTCATAGCCCATGGCCTCAACTCCTTGAGAAATGCCCATTTTTCAGCAGGTGAAAAGGCACAGGGAGCTGAGATCTATTGAGAGATGGTAGGAACTCCCACAAAGCTAAGAAAGAAAAAGTCGCCATGAGGTGCTTGGGAGCTCCCAGGAAAACAAAGGATATTCTGCAGAGTCCTCTGGGATGAGAGGCAACCCCCCAATCATGGCGAAACTTGCGGACCCCCGACTTTGCCAACTCACCCATCCGTGTCCTGGAAGTTAACGTTCACCCGCTTGGCTGATCCGAGGAGCTCTGGGGGGGCAGACAAGAGAGACAATTAGAGGAACACCAAAAGGAGGGGTAAGCCCTTTCCCTGGGAATTCCTCCAAGCAAACACTTTGGGAATAATCTGTCTGCTTCTCCATCATGGCACCTCCATTATGGAGCCGGCTTCCTTTAGAAATGAAGCTGGCCTTCTTGCTGATGGCCTTCGGGAAGCTTTTAAAGAACAAGCTTTCTCGGAGGGTCTTTGGGGAATGCCTGTCAATACTTGGAGGTCTATTCTCGTTATTCGGTACTATAATCATTGTTATTATTAAGTACTGTCTGGTTATGTTTTATTATTCTCTGGATGTTTTTATTGTATGCTGTACATCGCTGTACATTCTGAGGATTCAGCCACCTACCAGTTGGAGACGTAAATAAACGTTTCCCTTCTGAGCTGCGTTTTGCTATATTTTGCCTGGAGGTTCCAGCAAGATTGAAATCTGGATTGGTCTGAAACTGACCAATCGGTGGAATCCCTGCCTGCTCCTGCGCTGCCAACAGCCAGGTGAGGATGGGGACCGGCATCTCTTGGCCCTTCTGCCACCGAGGCCCCTTGGAAAAGGTTTGGGAAGCCGCGCGAGAGAGGAGGGGTGGACCCTCCCACCCTCCACCGAGTCAAGAGCTCATGGCTTCCTTCCGCACCCCCACAACCCATCGGTGGGCTACAAATGCAACAAGCCCCTTGTCCCGCAGGCAACTTCTCATCCAGACAGTCTTTTAAAACGGAAGGGGATGGAAGAAGGAGTGCAGCGCTTTAAATGGGTGGGCTTTGAGGGGAGTAGGGACGATGCTGGGATTTGCAAAATTGAGGCGCTTGTTAGAGGATCAGGAAAGCATGAATTCACTGGGTCCCATTTCACCGTAGGGCTGCTTTCTGGAAAGGGAGGGTCTCTGGATCTTTGAGGGCCCCACAAATGGACCCTGCAAATGGATTACCTGGGGAAAGCAGGGCTTCTAGTGCAGGAAATAATTCAAGAAAGAAGCCTTAACTGAGGATTGGAGGTTGGATTATGGCCAGCGTACAAGTACAGGGCCAAGGAAGGGTTCCTGCACCACTAGCCCGTCTGCGCGCTTAGATTTACCCTGGTCTCCCTCCCCTGAAGGTTCCGCCCTGGAGAAACATTTCAGACCAACATGGATAAAGATTTAGGCTCTTAGGATTTAAACACCCCCCACCCCAACCTGGGTGAGAAAGAACCAGCCTGCCATTTTCCCCTGCCACTTTTGCCCAGGTTCCCCCAAATCCATTCTTGTTCCACTTCTGCATTAACGTCGTTAAAGTAACAGGCCCAGAAAGTTGCATTATTCACACACGTATATGCCTTCAGAGTATTTTGCCTCAAAGTATACAGTACGTTCATACCCCACACCTTGAGCGGGATAAAAATCTGAGTATAAGTATATATAACATACACCAATATAGTTTTTAGAAGATTGAGGAATTGGGATATATTGGAATTAGGATGGAGGTAACGGGGAACAGCGGGAGCCCTCTCAGGCTGATGATCGTTTGCGCCTCCATTCCAGCTCCTGGGAATCCTTATCCTGAAGAATCACAGCATTTCCCATGGAAACTTTGGAAGGAGAATAGCCAAGACCTGGGTGAGCTTAGGGGGCCCCGAGCCCCAGGGCACAAACACTGGCATGACCCGGCTGCCTGAACAGGAGCCAAGTGGATCTTGGGCTAGAGAGGGTCATTCCGCGGCTGGGTTCACACAGCCTCCTAAAGCCGTACACTCAGGTTTAATAAAATACAAGTGTTGCATTCACATAATCCACTCTGCCCAACCAGCCACATCGTGGCTTAATGTGGTAATGGCCCCTTTCCAAAGCTCCCACATGCCTGGGTTCCCACAACGTGTTTGCACCCCAAATTATCCCTCCTAATTTTAGTCCAGATGAGCAGGTTGTGGGAACCCAGCCCATCTGTGGCCAGAGAAAAAGAATGGATTGGAGTTATTGGAGGAAGCCTGGGGAAGGGTCACAGTGCACCCGGTGGTCCCTGAGGTTCTCTCTCTGGGCACTGTCCTTCCTCCCCTCCCTCCTTACCAGGGACTGGCACCTTTTCTTTCTGCCTTTCTGTTAGTGGGGCGTGAGCATCTAGCACAGCGAATCTGCACCTGTACCAGCACCTGGTTTCCTCCAGAGGAGAAGAGGAGGAAGAGGGGGCAGGACAGGACTGCAGCTGACCTTCCTAAAAAGAAAGGTGTCCTGCCATCTACCTGGCCAGCCACGTACACAGGCAGCATCGCTCAGACAGCCTGCTTGTACCAAAAAGCCAGCAGGAGTCAGGGAGCACCTTTGCCGATTAACAAGCTTTAGGAAAAGGCAGAACTGCGCTCACAAACTCTTTGCCCTTGAATAAAATGCCTTCGCTGGAAAAGCCCGATTTTTTGCTGCCATAGACTAACGCACCCAGCTCTCCTCCCACAGTGCCAGCTTGTGCCACAAAATGCTACGGAAGCCCACCTCCAGGGCATCAGGAACTTGTCACCTCCCAGCACCCCCAGCCCATCTGGCTCTGCTCCAGAGCTGCCCCAGCAGGGACTGAGCCACTGAGGGTGGGGTGGCCAGCTGAGAAGGGCTGGGGGTCCCCCACATACCGCAGCCGCACCCCCCTGCACTCACTGGCCAAGCTGGCCTGGAACCGGACAAGGAGAGTCGTCCTGGGCGATGTGAAGCAGGCTGCCTCGCAGGGCGAGGGACGGTGCTTCCGAGCACTTGGCCTTGTCTGGCTAATGGCTGAAGTGGCTGGCCAGTGCAGGGACCACAGAGGCCCCCTTGGTCTTGGAAAGAGTTGGCCTGGGCCGTTCTGCTGATCCAGGTCAGCCTTTCCCCATCTCTGCTCCCAAGAGAAAAGCAAACCCTGCTGTCAGGTCTACAATGTTCAAATCCCAATACAGAAAAATCTCTTGAAATCCAAAGTAGATTCAGAAAAGATTTCATTTACTGGATGGTACATGCACGTCTTCTTCCTGGCCTTCAATCTTGCGCCGTCTCTGTCTTCTTTCACTCCCCCCCCCCCC